TACTTTTACAAAGGACATTTTTAGCATTATAAAAGTTTGGGTGCATATGTAATTGTTAATTTATAAATATGTGTGTACATTTATATAATACTTATGATATGTAGAATATGTAACATAAAAATATATGTACATATATTTATTATATGCTAAATGTAGTATGCTACATATTTATCCTACATGAAAATATATAGAAGAAATAAAAGATTTCAGAATAAAGGATAGGCTTTTTGGGAAAGGACAAGTGGCAACCAATGATTTAGATGACTCCCTGTTGCTATAATTCCATGATTGAGTCTAAAATATCCTGAGAATTTACATGCCTTTCATTATTATCAGTAACATATTTGGAAAATCATAGATTACAGTGTTTTTAATACTTCAATCTACATGTTGTATGAGCACAATTCTGTGCATTTTTACTTATTAGTTTCCTATATCAATTTTAACCTGAGGTCACAGACTTCAGGGTATTCATAACATCATGAACATATATATGATATTACATATATATATATATAGTTTTTTTCCTGGGGAAAAATAATTTCTAATCCAAATAAATTTCTTGATTTTTCTTTACATAATAATATTATTGGTTGGGGAGTCCCCTCAATGTTTTTCCTTTTTTTCCCTTTTGTATGTGTGCAGGGGAGCATCTAATTTCTATTTTGCATTTGATAGCTGCATATCTGAATTCCTTGTTCTCACCTTAACAAGTCTAATTTTTTTTAAAAAGTCTCTATCCATTAATCATAGGGATTTAATTACTTATTTTTTTTTTAGTTGTACATGGACACAATATCTTTATTTTTTATTTGTTTATTTTTATGTGGTACTGAAGATTGAACCCAGTGCCTCACACATGCAAGGCAAGCACTTTACCCACTGAGCTACATCCCCAGCCCTGGATTTAATTTAAAAAATCTTTTTTTGGTACCAGGCATTGAACCCAAGGGTTTTTAACCATTAAGCCATATCCACAGCCTTCTCTATTTTAAGACAGGGTCTCACTAAGATGCTTAGAGCCTCGCTAAGTTGGTGAGGATGGCTTTGAATCTGCAATCCTCCTGCCGCAGCCTTCTGAACCACTGGTATTACAGGTGTGTGCCAACATACCCAGCTAAAAAAAAGTCAGTCTTTTTTTTTTTTTTTAAAGTACAGAAAGACAGAAAAAGGCAGAGGGTGATGCCTACATTGAAACTGACAGGCAGGGAGACAAGCAGCTAGAGTCAGTAGGATATACAGGCATAGATAAAAGGCCTAATAAGCATAGACATGTGAAAGAAATATAGAGAAACTTGGAAACACAGAAGGAGAGACAGAAGAACTGACCAGGTATAGAAGAAGGATAGCAGAAAAACAGGTTGACAGAAAAAAATGACCACAGTGAGGCAGGCAAGATCACCAAGGGAAACACAAATAAGTGAACAGAAAGGAGAAGAGAGAGAGAGAAGAAAGGCACACTGATGAAGAAAACTATAAGGTAAGAAGGAAGACAAAGTGATAACAGTGTTTTATACAACAGAGTGCCTTATAATTATTTCAGGCAGACAGGGAGAATCCAGCAGACAGATGGGGTGATGGAGAGATATATGTCAATCACACAGAAGAGAGGAGAGGTAGCCAATCAGAAGGAAAAGCTAGAATGAAGACCAAGACAGATACAAGGAAAGAATAAACAAACAAATAAATAAATAAAAGAGAAGGGGTGGTGGGGGGAGAAAGAAGAGCAACACAGAGATAAGAGGCTAAAACAGTTGAATTCAGGAATATACAGTAAATAAGCAGAAATGAAAGAACAGTATATCCTGTAAAGTCTTATCATCTTTCTCAAAGAGACCTGGTTAGAAGCTGAGTCTTTGTCTCCCTGCTAAAGAGTTATAATGTTTCTAAGGCAGCATGGGAGAAGATCCAGAAGGAAGGATGAAAAAGGAGAAATTTTAATAAGGAGCAAAGCTGTTGAGATGAGGAGAAAGAAACTTCTGGGATAGGCCCAAGTCAACCACCTAAAAGGAGCTGGCTCATGCCTGTAATCTGAGATACTCTGGAGGCTGAGGTAGGAGGATCACAAGTGTGAGGCTAGCCTGGGCAACTTGATGAGACCCTTTATCAAAACAGAAGTAAAAAGGCCTGGAGATGTGGCTCAGTGGTAAAGATCCCCTGGCTTCAATCCCCAGTACCAAAGCAAAACAGTACAAAACTCTCAAAGGATCTAGATTGGTATGACTTCATAGAATTCATATAGATAAAAAGGAAAGATAGAGCAGGCCACTGTCTATTTGTGTTTAAGCACAGCTTACAAACTATCTGTACTTATTAATTGTACTATTATTTATCTGGTAGTTTTTAGTATATTCATTTAATGCATTCATGTCTTTCTTTTCTCAATTAATACATACTTCAGCAATGAAGAGACCAAGAGTGTGTTTCCAGACAACTATGTAGAGTAGAATAGGAGATCAGGAGAGAACAAGACCTTTCTAAGAATTCCTTTGGTACTGGTAGTAAAAGCAGGTAATTAGCAACAGTCAATCAAAAACAGAAGTTCCATAAAGTAGAATCAGAAAGACAAGAGGCAAGAGGTGGCAAGTCATGTAAAGTTAGGAAGGAGCATCCAGCAAAACTGAAAAAAAAAAAAAAAAAAAAACATAAGGAGTACAGCAAAACCAAGTAGACTTGTGTATGTATAGATTCTTCTCTCAGGCATTATCCAAGAAATGTGACATAGTGGCTGCCTCTTGGGAGAGGAAATCATGGCCAGGGAGCGAATAAATGGGAGGTTTACTTTGCACACTGCTAGTTATATACTTTTACATTTTCATACCACAGTTATGTCTATTCAAAAGTTAATTGAGGCTCGGCGCAATGGCATAAATCAGTAATCTCAGCGATTCAGGAGACTGAGACCAGAATATTTCAAGTTCGAGGCCAGGCTGGGCCACTTAATGAGACCCTGTTTCAAAAAATAAAAAGTATTGTGGATATAGTTCAGTGATAGAGTGCTTGCCTAGCACATGCAATGCCCTTCATTCAATCCCGAACACCACACACACATACACACACAAGCTGATTGGGGAAGAGGGGACTAAAACAAAAAAAGAAAGAAAAGCAAGCAGGGATGTGGACATAAAGAAAGAGCCTATCAAACAGACAGTAAAAAGGCAGGAAAATAGAGACTAGGGGAATGGCAAAAAGACTGAGGTGTAGGCAGCCTGTCTAGGAAGCAGAAAGAAAAAGACATGACTGAAATGGAAGCAAGTGTGAGAGAAGACAGGGTAGGAGATATGATACAAAAGCAGGTAAGACTTTGGAGGAAGGGGTTACTGAGAAGTCTGGAGAGAGAGACCATCCCCCTTCATGGGATGTTAGCAGAAAGCAAGTCAAGGGAGAAAGAGGTGATAAACAGAAAGAGGGAAAAGATACAGGCTTTAAGCAGTAAGAGAACAGAGAGCAAGTAGGGAAGACAGGCAAGAAGACAGAACTAATGGGAAGCAAGGAAAAATGATGAAAAGAGATAAATAGGAACAAGTAGAAGGGCAAGATAAGAGGCAAACCAAGATGGGGATGGCCATAGCAGGACCTGGAAGGTAGACAAACCAAGAGATGCAGGCTAAAAAAAGTGATAGAGACAGGCAGGCGGGGAGACAGATGGCTAGAGAGAGAGTGGTGGGCAAACAGCCAGAGAAGCAGACAGACAACCAGAGAGAGAAAAAGGCTGCCAGCCAGTCAGGAAGGAGCAGACAGGCAGGCAGGCAGACACCATAACAAGAGCAAGCAGGTAAAGAGGCAGGCAGAAACAAGGATAGAAGACGACAAATCAAGAGGTCAGCAGGGAGGAAAAAAGATCAGGAAAGAGATACAGACAGGCAGAGGGGCAGATGGACAAGGAGAGAATCAGGAAGATTAAAAAATCTGTATATAAAGCATACTCAAGAGAAAAAATGATGAAGGCCTGCATAGGGATGCACATGGCCACCTTTAGCCACCCACACCTGCAGATCATGCCACATGTGGCAGGCGGGCAGAGAGATTCAGCATAGAGTGAGAGGACCGAAGGCAGAGAGACTTGTGGAGCACCACATGATGCATAGTGTACCCCCACCAACACACACACACACACACACACGGAGACACTTTTTCTAGACCTTGGTTTGATCCACAGACATACAGAAGGGACCAGAAAGGGGGAGACAGGCACAAACAAGGAAGAGCCATACACAGAGATGACACAGGAAGACAGAAGAAAACAGAGGACAGAGATGGAAAGTCACTTGCAGGTGATGGAGACTGAGAGTCAAAGGCAAGACAGACAGTATTAGCAAACAATAAAGATGCACACATAGAAAAGCCATACTCAGAAAAAAAGGAGATACCCAGATGAACTAGTACAGAGACTCAGAGAGCGGACAAGAGAGCTAAATTGAATGGAAGAGGAATGATTTGGGAGCATAGGAAAGAGAGTTTCACAGTTCAAATTATTAGGGAAAAAAGGGGAAACCAATGTTCAATAAGGTACAGTAGTAGGAGCGGGGTAGGATATCAACAATGAACATTTTATTTTAGCCTTATAAACAAAAATTTATATTGTATTCCCTTGTCACTAATGCTTTCTGACTGCTGTGCTCTTGAGCAGGGCTGGGGGCCAGCAATTACACTTCAGAGGTGAGAAATGGCCCAGGAAAGAGACCATTCTACTGGCCTGGGATGGGAAGCAAGGGAGGGGCAAAGTGAGATCAAAAGAATGGGAGAAAACTAGAGTAAGAAAAAGGTGAGGTACAAAAAGGGTAGAATTAAAGCTAATTCACCTCCTTCCTTTGCTCCATTCATTGGCAAGCTGTATTTTATGTCTAGACCTCTCTGATCAAATCTGTTTGAGAAAGCTACTTTTTGGACTCGTTTTCAACTGTCCATCTGATTCCTGATACCACATTTAAAATAAACACTAGGGTAGAGGAAACCAAGGGTTAGCAAGATAGACAAAAATGCCTGAGTGTAACCCCTACCTCAGTCCCAGTTACTTTTCTCTTTCCTGGTACCTCAGTTTCTTCTACTTTATCAGTGCTGGAGATCATGGAGGAAGGGAAATATACTGAAACAGGAGAAAAGAGAAAATAATTTCACAATCTTCAGACTTTATCTCTCCCCTTTATTCTAAAAATCTGTTCTATTTAACCCCAAATTAATTCCTCAAGTCAGCTTAATTTTATATGCTAGCAACTTGGGGAGGGGAGGCTGAGGGAAAGGGAAAAAAAGTGAAGATAAAATTTACAACAATTATAAATCACTGAAAAGGCTGGGCAAAGGGGAGAATCAAACATGGACTCCTTTGAAAAAAAAACTCAATCATCGTATCTATTCATATCTCTCCCCCAAAAGTCACTAGGATTTCTGTCACTTTTTTTAAAGAAATAAGAAAAATATCCAGTACCGCTTCTCATTTAAAAGATACGTACACAATTAAATGCATTTTGACTTCAATGAGGTATGTAGAAACAGAGTTATATATAAACATATATTTCATCTTTTTCCTTTTCAATGCCTGAAGGGGAAAAAAAAAAACCTTCACATCAAACCACTCCCTTCTGAAGTATTCAAAAAAAAAAAAAAAAAGCTTTTCTTTAGAGAAGGGAGGTGGGGAGAAAGAGACTAGTAAAGAAAAGAAAAAAAATTCAATCTAGTTGGACTAGTATCTAACTAGTTAACCTTTAACAATTTATGCTGATGTCAGACTGAGCATGAGTACTGATTAATGCCCCCCCCAAATATTTTTTATAAGGGGGGAGTTAGTCACAGCAGCCATTTTTGTTTTATGCAGAAATCCTTCATGCCCCCCCAACACACACACACACACACACACACACACACTTCAGTACACAAGGAAAATATCTCTATTAATCTGTGCACTAATCAGTTATGAAAAAAGGAAGAAATTTGTGGGTTTCTGGGTAGAGGGTTGGAGATGGGGGTGTAACAGGGAGGAGAATGGGGGGGGTGAAAATGAAATATTAAGCCAGCCATTTTGTTTTAAAAGGGGATTTTTCCCCCTCTCTCTTTCTTTATGGAGGGGGTGGCGGTGCTGGAGGGGGGGGTTGTTTTAAAAATAATTTCAAGGCGGCCATCTTAGTGCCTCAGCTCTGAGAAATATTTCTGAGCGCCCCCCTCAGAATTTAAATATATTTAAAGCAACGGAGAGGGGGGTAGAGAGAAGTCGAAAACTTTTATATATATATATATATATATATATATATATATATATACACACACACATATATATATATATATAATTTTTTTTTTCTTTTTAAAAATCCCCTTTCTTGTTCTCTTGGGAGGAAAGAGAAGGGGGAAAAAAGTCTCTCCTCAAAATTTTCCAAGAACATTTTTGGAGGTGGTTCGGCCCCCCTCCTCAGACGGCGGCCCCGAGGGTGGGGGTTTTGGAGGAGGGTGGCCCAGGGGTTTGGGGGGCTGGGGGAGGCGGTGAAGAGGAGGACGCCGCCGCCGAGGAGGAGGAGGAGGAGGAGGAGGAGGAGGTGGTAGCGGTGGGGGAGGCGGGCGGGCGGTGGGTGGGGGGGTGGTGGGGGGGCCAGAGCCACAGGATGGCTTCCCCTCTGAGGGACGAGGAGGAGGAGGAGGAGGAGATGGTGGTGTCGGAGGAGGAAGAAGAGGAGGAAGAAGAGGGAGACGAAGAGGAGGAGGAGGTGGAGGCGGCCGACGAGGACGATGAGGAGGACGACGACGAGGGAGTACTCGGGCGCGGGCCGGGCCACGACCGGGGCCGCGACCGCCACAGCCCCCCCGGCTGCCACCTCTTCCCGCCGCCGCCGCCGCCGCCACCGCTGCCCCCGCCGCCGCCGCCGCCCCCGCCGCCAGGTAAGCTGCTGCCCCGACTCCCCCCTCCCCAGCCCGAGTGGGAGCCGCGGGCGCGCGAAGCCGGGCGGGGGGCCGGGCACCCACCGCGCGGCCGAGCCGAGGAGAATCCGGGGCGCGGACCACCGTCTAGGGCCGGCGCCCTGCAGCGGTCCTGGCGGTCCCGGCGGTCCGGGCGGCGGCGGCCGCGGGGCCGGGCCTCCTCCCCTCCCCCGCCGCACCCCTCCCCCGCCGCCGCCGCTGCCGCTGCCGCTGCTGCCGCCCGGGCTGGAGAGCGCTGGGCGCGAGCTGCGCGCGCGGACCGGGCCACTCGGTCGCGGCTTTCGGGGGAGGAGGAGGAGGAGATTTTTTTTTTTACCCTCGGCTGGGAGGGGGTAGGCAGGAAACGGCCGAGGCGAAGCCAGGGCCCCCTCCCTGGCCGAGCGAGGGACCGCGGAGACCCTGGCGGCCGGACGGCGGCGTGGGGGAGGGGCGCGTGGGGGAGGGGCGGCCGAACGAGCGCCCCTCAGGCTGCGACCCCGGTGGGGTTGCACCGAGGCAGGGTGAGGTTTCTATGTGTGGTGTGGAGCAAACCCCCACCCCACTCCACTCGGCACTTGGGCCGGCAGAAAGATGACAGTGTCCATCGGACCCCTTTCCACCAGCGGGGACTTCGGTGCCCTCCAGCTCTGGGGCGTGTGGTGGCACGCGGGGAAGGGGTCGCGTACATGTGGGCGGCTGATGACTAGAGGCAGGTAGCGGCAACACTTCACTCAGACCACTTCCTGGAGTTAGACTTGAGCTACCCCCCACTTCCCCAGCTGGGGGATCGTGAGAGTCAGTTAAGATTGGGGGACGAGAGGAAAGTGGGGAGCCAGATGTCCCCGGCCCCACCCCCTTTATCTCTCTTCTGCTTCGGGCTCTTTTGTGTCAAGTGCGGCCCCCTCTCCCCGTCAGGACCCTGTCAGTCTGGGCTGGCCGAACTGCCCAGCTGTGACTCTCACGTGGCTGCCATTCACTGTCACTCACTCTTTGGCCGAAACCACCCACACCCTGACCATGCTGGGGGGGCGTAACCTGCCCATCCAGCTGGTCTGCAGCTTGACCATCACTCAGCACCCCTCTCCCTGAATGACAAGTCACCCGGCGCTCTGGGCGGCACTCTCCGGGAGTGATGGAGATAGACTGCTGCCTGGCATCAGGAGCCCAGCAGTGGCTCCCTTCAGACCACCCTCCTCGTGGAGGGATTTTGGGGCTTCCTTGGGATAGGTGAGCCTTATGGTGTCTGCACCCGCTGCTTGGGGACTGCAGAGCAGTACAGATGCTCCAGACTTCAAAACGTCTACCATCATGCTCTTTGTAAAACTGTCATATTGATCCGTGTGGCTTATGTGGCACATGTTCTTATCTAGTTGAGGCAACCTTTGAGGAGACAGTGAGGGAGTGCTTTCTTGTGTGGGTGGGTGGGGGTGTGTGTTTAATGGAGACTGGTTCAAGTCTCCCTGTGCCCCCAGGCTTGTCTATATTATAAAGGGAAAAGTTTTTAAAAAGTTATCCCAGAGAGCCAGCCGGCAGAATTCACAGGAGAAAAAAGAAATAAAAGAGTCGTGGGGAAAGGGTTGCCTGTAGGGTTGCCTACAGCAAGGTGCCGAAAGAGGGAAAGAAAGGATGTCAGGTGAGTTAGGAGAATAGCAGCCCTCACCTATTTTGTATTCTGAAGTTGGAATCTGGTATTTGGGTGTTTTTGATCCTGGATCTGGGTTTGAGAGAGAGGGGCGCATGAAAGAATCTAAGGTTGAGATGGGTCTTTGTGTCCTACTCCCTCCCCTTTTCCCTCTTTGCTTTCTGAATCGTGAAGAAACGTCAGACGCTTTTAAAGTGTTACATCTAAAGTGAAATTCCACCTCTCCTCTCTCCCTGGGCAATGTTATCTCCCTTTCAGCCCTCCGAGTCAAATGAGTGACCCAGATACACCCCCTCAGATGACTTTCTGAGGTAAAACTTTGGGAAAATATTTTTAGCCTGCTCATTATCTCTGTCTACCTAATTGTGGGGAGAATAAGCCTCCTCAGAGGAGATCTGCTCAGGCTGCCCTCCCTCATCCTTTTCTGGAACATGAATTTGTACATCTGAGAGCTTTCCATTGTTTTTCATTCCGACTGCTTTGATTCTCACCATTTTGTTTTACATTCTTACTCAAGACCAATTTTATCCCTTCCCCCTCGCTCCAGTCTCCTTACATTGTTAAACGTTTAAAATAATAGCACTCGTGTTGGTGGGGGAAGGGAGCAGGAAGCCAAAAAAACTCATTTCTTCTCCCTCCCCCTTCTGGCAAGTCTAGAGAAATAATATAACATAATATATAGATGTGATTCCTTGAGGTGGGGGTGGGGAATGATTGTGGGTGGTGCGGAAAATTCTGGTAGTTTCTTTGCAAAAGGTCTGAAAATACAAACCCACCCCCTGCGTGCAGTACGCATGTGCAGCAGACCTATTATGGAGGTTCGTTGTGGGGGAGGGAGGGGAATTTGAGAAAAAATAAATATATGTGTGAGAGATTGATGGTGAGATTAGGAGAGAGGGGCGGGTGGGAGGCGAGGCTTTCGCGCAGGCTCCTCCCCCGGGCTTGAGCAGCCAGGCTCCACCCTCCCTCCCCGCCTTCCCGAGATCTGAGCTGGGATGTGGGAGAGTCTGGGCTCCAGGCCAGCATTGAGTGGCTGCTGAGACAGAGGTTAGGACTTAGATTTGCTTTATTACCCTCCCTTGCCTCCCCTCGCCCGTTCTCCTTTGCCTTCCCCGCCGCGTACGTCCGTCCAAGTTCGGGAACCTCCTGCTGCGCGGGCGTGGGGCGGGTAGTGGAGTTCACAGGCTGTGCGGGCCCCCACCCCCAGCTGGGAGTGACCCAGGCCACTTTCCTGATCCTTCGCCAGTTGGCCTGCCCTTGCCACTGCCCCGGCAGCCTCCGTTTCCATGTTCGTGTTAACCCAAATCCCTGGGGTTCAGGGGAGCCTGGCGTCCTCCTGACTTCCTACTACAGTTCCCCCACCACCTCGGTTTTCACACCCTGGTCCTAGGCAGGCAGCCCCCTTTCACATCCACAGCCAGTGCTAGAGTGTCCTCCTAGTTCAGCGCAAGAGGACACAGGTTGCCAGAGTTAGGAGAAAAGGTAGTGTGAAAGGAGGGAGGTGCCAGGAATTTGAGGGAATGGAAACCCAGGCCTCTGGTTGTTAATTGTGGCTAATTTTCCTTGCTGTTGAGGGAAAGAGGATTGTGTGTCCTAGAGCAAGGTCTGGGCCAAACCCAGCCTTTCCCCTCCTGCAGCAGCTGCCTCTGCCTGGACAAGACAGGTCTGGCTGGTTAGTCTAGTGCTTAGGTGCCAGAGGCTAACAGGGGCCCAGTCTGTGTGGCATCAGTCTGTATGGCACATCGTCTTCCTGTTTAGGAGCAACACTGGCTCCCAAGCCTCAGCATACTGGCAGGGGTCACAGAGTATGGGGTGGAGGAGGCATCAGGGAAGAACCTGCCCAGGGCCACTTGACAGAGGCTTCTGGTGAGAGAGTCAGGGATCCTGCCCTGCAGAAGCAGGTACAGGCTGACTCCTGGATTTGTGCCCGTGAGTGTGTGTACATTGGAGAACACAAATGCTGGGCATCTCTGAGTACCTATATCTTTGTTTCATTTGGACTCCTAGGTTGTCTGTATAGTGATGGATCAGGATGTCTGGAACAAAGAATAAAGGGGAAAATAAAATCAGGGGATAAAGGGTGCAGTCCCTGGGTTCTCAAAGGGAGCAAGAATATGGGAATAGATTTGGAAGCAGATTTCAAGCTAGTAGGGAGGAGGTATATCATTAAGGGAATTCTGGAGATTTCCTCCTCTCTGGTTAGAATGCAGGCAGACACTATGATCCTGTGGGCAAGAAATGAAAATGACTGGCTGAGGATTTCTTTTCCTCTAGGACTATGTTGGGGTGACAAGATGCCGGTGATTATCCGAGGAAATGTAAATAGAGGCCTCCCTCTTGGCAAAAAGCATGTCAGCCCCCAGGGTGTTAGTGTGAGAACCCAGGTGTCCACCTTTGGCTCTCCCTTCTCAGCATCTGGCTTAGGGAGCTGCCAGCTTGTGTCTCCCCACTCCAAGTGCTGGGGTCAGGCCAGGCCAGCAGCTGGGCATGGCTTCCCCCAGTTCCTGGGCAGGATGCCAGCTGGCGAAGAGAGGGGAAGGCAGGAGGAGTCCTGGCGGCGACTGAAAGGACCTGACACAGTCAGAGCCCGTGGCCTGGAGCCTGGTCCCTTGTTAGTAGGAGGGGAGAGATGGGAGTGGTTTGGCGTTCTTCCTTTCTGACCCCTGACCTCCCATTCAGAACCAGAGCATCCCAGAGTACTCAACACACTCTGTTTGCATCCAGTGAAAGGCAGCAAGGTTTGGAGGAGTTAATGCCCAGTTCCTAGAGAGTGGGACTGAGGCAGTAGGGAAGGCGGTGTGGAAGGGCCTTAGAGATTAGGAACCTAGAGGCTTATGTTTTCTGATGTTCTCTGCTCCAAAGATAAGGATGACATTCGGCTGCTGCCTTCAGCATTGGGTGTGAAGAAGAGAAAGCGAGGACCCAAGAAACAGAAGGAAAACAAGCCAGGCAAACCCCGCAAACGCAAGAAACTTGTAAGTGACAGGGATTCCTAATTTTGTGGCAAGCCTCAGGGACCTTTCCCAGAAAATCACATTTTCTTTTTTCCTGATTATCCAGGTAAAGAGGTGTCCTGAAGTCAAGGAGGCTTGACCCCCTCACACTCCCCCACACCCCATTACTTTATATCTCTTGGATCTAGGACCCTACCTTACTCTCTACAACCTGGTGAAGAGCCTGGTCATTGTTGATGTGACTTGCCCTAACATCCAACAGAAGCAGTCTTGGAGGAAAACTGTATGAGTTCAGACCCCTCTGTCTTCCTGGGCAATTTATTTAGCTCTCCATGCCTCAGTTTCTTCATCTGTAAACTGGATAAACAAATCAGTTATTATACAATTGTTGTGAAGATGGAAATAAAATGTAATGTGCTAAGAACAGTTTTTGGCACATTGTAAGGATGAATAAATGTTATTTTTATTTCTCTCTCTTTAGGACAGTGAGGAAGAATTTGGCTCAGAGCGAGATGAGTACCGGGAGAAGTCAGAGAGTGGGGGTAGTGAATATGG